AATGTTTGGTAGTGGAGGAGTCTGCTCGAACATGGATCAAATAATCATTACGGTTTGCGTTTAAAGCTTCAAATAATCAGGCCGAGTATGAAGCGTTGTTGGCAGGTTTAAGGCTTGCACGAGAGATCGGAGTTAGCCGATTGGAATGCTGGACTGATTCAAAGGTTGTAGCCGAGCAGGTGAACGATAATTTTCAAGTAAAAGATGCAAACTTGTTAAAGTATTATCATTTGTTTCAAAAAATGCGTGATATGTTTGAAGAAGTTCAAGTAAAGCACACACCAAGAGAACACAATGCGAGGGCGGATCAGTTGGCTCAGTTGGCAAGCAGTACCAGAAAACCTGGACAGTTGAGAACCACGCTTCACTTGGATCTTGAAGCACCAAGTGTGGTAGCTGCCGAATGTTTGGTAGTGGAGGAGTCTGCTCGAACATGGATCACTGAGATAGTGGAGCATCTTGAACATGGTAAATTACCGTCTGATCCAACGGCTGCTAAAAAGCTCCGAACGCAGGCTGCCAGATATATTGTGGTTGGAGGAGAGCTATATAGAAGAGGATTCTCGGTTCCGTTGCTGAAATGCGTTGATAAAGAGCAAGCTAATTATATATTGAGAGAGATGCATGAAGGGATATGCGGTTTCCACTCGGGAGGACGAACTTTAGCCACTAAGGTGCTTCGGGCAGGATACTATTGGCCTACTCTTAGGGAAGATTGTGTAAAGTTCGTAAAACATTGTGTATCATGCCAACGGCACGGTAACCTTATTCACGCTTCAGCTGAAGAACTTCATGATATTAGTTCACCATGGCCGTTTGCAATGTGGGGTATGGATATTCTTGGACCCTTCCCGATTGCCAAGGGTCAGTGCAAATTTTTGCTAGTTGCTGTAGATTATTTCACGAAATGGGTCGAGGCCGAGCCACTTGCCAGTATCACAACTGCCAATGTTCAAAAGTTTTTATGGAAAAACATCATTACTCGCTTCGGCATTCCATATGCACTTGTAACTGATAATGGTTTGCAATTCACCGATCAAAAACTTAATCGGTTCATTCAGGATCTCGGCATCAAGCACAGGTTTACATCGGTAGAACACCCGCAAGCTAATGGGCAGGCCGAAGCAGCAAACAAAGTAATACTTGGTGAATTGAAGAAAAGATTGGGAGACGCTAAGGGAGCTTGGGCGGAAGAATTATTAGAGGTTTTATGGGCTTATCGGTGCACGCCTCAGTCCACGACTAAAGAAACACCTTTTCGGCTAACATATGGCACTGATGCCATGATACCTGTTGAGGTAGGAGAACCATCTTTTCGGCGACAATATTTTGATGAAAATACCAATGATATATCTCTCCGAGCTGAGGTTGACATGGTCAATGAAGTACGTGTCAGAACAGAGATTATAGCTGAAGCTTGTAAACAGAGGATGGCTCGTAGGTTTAATTCCAACCTTATTAAAATCTCGCAACAGGCTTCCCTCCCGAGTTGTTCAATTCGGCAAAGGATGCGCCTTGAAAATCTCGCAACAGGCTTCCCTCCCGAGTTGTTCAACTCGGCTAAGGATGTGCCTTAAAAATCTCGCAACAGGCTTCCCTCCCGAGTTGTTCAACTCGGCTAAGGATGCGCCTTAAAAATCTCGCAACAGGCTTCCCTCCCGAGTTGTTCAAACCGGCTAAGGACGTACCTTAAAAATTTCGCAACAGACTTCCCTCCCGAGTTGATCAACTTGCCTAAGGACAAATCCGAAGCAAGTCTGTTCGGACTTGTCAAAAAAGAGCACACATCTGAAACAAGTCTGTTTGGTTTTGTCAAACCAGAGTACAAATCCAAAGCAAACCTGTTCGGATTGGTCAAAAAAGAGTACAAATCCGAAATAAGTCTGTTCGGTTTTGTCAAAAAAGAGTGCAAATCCGAAGCAAACCTGTTCGGATTTGTCAAAGAAGAGCACAAATCCGAAACAAGTCTATTCGGTTTTGTCAAAAAAGAGTACAAATCCGAAACAAGTCTGTTCGGATTTGTCAAAAAAGAGTGTAAATCCGAAGCAAACCTGTTCGGATTTGTTAAAGAAGAGCACAAATCCGAAACAAGTCTGTTCGGATTTGTCAAAAAAGAGTGTAAACTCGAAGCAAACCTGTTCGGATTTGTTAAAGAAGAGCACAAATCCGAAACAAGTCTGTTTGGTTTTGTCAAACCAGAGTACAAATCCGAAGCAAACCTGTCCGGATTGGTCAAAAAAGAGTACAAATCCGATGCAAATCTCTTCGGTTTTACCAACAAAATATATATTTGAAGCAAAGTCGTTCGATTTTGTTTAGAAAGGAGTACATTCGAGGCAAAGTCGTTCGACTTTGTTTAAAAAGTAACTGAGATAAAAATTTGAAGTACGAATGGTTTATTGTTAATTATAGACAAATACTTGAAAATTAATTGAGTAAGGCAAATTTTTGAAGAGCAATATCATTTCATTCAAAAGAAGGAGGCTCTATTGGCCTCCAAATTACAGAAGTTTAAAAATTGCATTAACGAAAAACCTAAACGCTACTCTTCAGGAGTGTGGGTTGAATCAGCTTGGATGACGGTTTTGGGATTTCCCTCGATTTCATTATCGGGCCCAGGGTTCTCTTCGTCCATCGTGTTCTCTTTAGAGGTTTCAGCATCATCCTCTGCTCGGGGGAAACACCTGGGTCGGCATCGTCAGGCTCACCTTCCTCAGGCATATCAACAAAAGACATGAGGGACCCTTGATAGAAATCTTGAGTCATGTCAAACTCAAAACCTTCTTCAAATTGGCCGAAGTGCTTAGCCTGCCGAACGACCTGTTTAAACCCCGCTTCATGTTGAGAAATTATCTTCTCTTTAGCTTGCTCTTTGAGGGCATTATACGCAGCCTCAGCTTCTTCCACTCGGCGACGTCCTTCATTAGTCATTTTTTGAAGATCCAAGCGCAGAGTATCATTGTCTCGCTGAACAGCATCTAACTCGGCAGCTAGATCCTTATTTTTAGCAATC